AGTATCACGTGTTTGTGGGAAGTTAGCCTTTGCTTTTTTGTTGTTGTTGTTGTTTTTGTTTTTTCTTTTCCCTTTTCCTTTTTTTTTCCCTTTTGTTAAATTATTTAACTGATAATATATTTTTTTCCCTAATAGTTATCTTTTCTTTTAATTAGACGTACGAGGAACGGCTGAGGGCACTGGGCCTGTTCAGCCTGGAGAAGAGGAGGCTGAGGGGAGACCTCATCACAGTCTACAACTTCCTCGTAAGGGGGTGTCGAGAGGCAGGAGACCTTTTCTCCATTAACACCAGTGACAGGACCCGCGGGAACAGGGTTAAGCTAAGGCAGGGGAAATTTAGGCTTGACATCAGGAGGGGGTTCTTCACAGAGAGAGTGGTTGCACACTGGAACAGGCTCCCCAGGGAAGTGGTCACTGCACTGAGCCTGTCTGAATTTAAGAAGAGATTGGACTGTGCGCTTAGTCACATGGTCTGAACTTTTGGGTAGACCTGTGCGGTGTCAAGAGTTGGACTTGATGATCCTTAAGGGTCCCTTCCAACTCAGGATATTCTATGATTCTATGATTCTATGATTAATTACATTATCCTTATCTATCTCAACCCATGAGTTATTTCTTTTATTTTCTTCTTCCCCTTCTCTTCTAAGGAGGGGAAATTATGACGGCGTGGTTGTGGTGGAGTTCATCTGTCTACCAAGGTAAAGCCACCACAACTGTGAGGACCACAGAGCACTGGAACAGGTTGCCCAGAGAGGTTGTGGGGTCTCCTTCTCTGGAGACATTCAAAACCCACCTGGATGCAATCCTGCACAATGCTCTAGGTGATCCTGCTTGGCAGGGAGGTTGGACTAGATGATCTTCAGAGGTCCCTTCCAACCTCAACCATTCTGTGATTAAATCATTTAAGTTTGAAAAGACCTCTAAGATCATCAAGTCTAACCATTAACATAGCATTGTCAAGTCCACCATGTCCCTAGCACCAAATCCACTCATTTTTGAATACCTTCAGGGATGGTGACTACTAACTCCTTCCCTGGGCAGTCTGTTCCAATGCCTCACAAAACTTTCAGTGAAGAATTTTTTTCCTTATACTCAACCTAAACATTCTGTGGTGAACCCTGTGGCCATTTCCCCGTCCTACTGCTTGTTGCTTAGGAGAACGGACTGACTCCCACCTTGCTACAACCTCCTTTAAGTTAATTGGAGAATGCAATAAGGTCTCCCCTGAGCCTCCTTTTCTCTACTCTTCCCTCAGCCTGCAGCATTGCATGGGGATGTTGTGCCCCAAATGCAGGACCCGGCACTTAGCCGTCTTGAACCTCATACACTTGGTTTCAGCCCATTGGTCTAGTCTATTGAGACCCCTCTGTAGAGCCCTTCCTACCCTCAAGCTGATCAACACTTGTGCCCAACTTGGTGTTGTTTGAGTGCTTAGTGGGGCTGTACTCGATGCCCTCATCCAGATCATCAATGAAGATATTGAAGAGAACTGGGCCCAGTATTGAGCCCTGGGGGGCAACACTAGTGACCGGCTTCCAACTGGAATTAAATTCATTCACCATAACTCTTTGTGCCAAGCCAGCCAGCCAGTTATTTATCTAGTGAAGCATATACCTATCCAAGCCCTGGGTAGCCAGAATCTTCAGCAGAATGCTGTCAGAAATAGTGTCAAAAGCTTTACTGAAGTCTCCACACAAGTGTCCACTGGGAAAGAAATGGAAGATGAAAAGAGGAGGTGAGGAGCATAATTTGATTATTTTGGAAGATTTAGACTCAGAATGATGGAGACCAGGGAATGAAATTCCAGTCTCTAAACCCTGGTTCCTGTTAAGACTGGGGAAGACACAACTGATTTTCTTTTAGACAGTGGCACGACCCACTCAGTAGTGACAACTGTAAAGGATCTTTGCTTGAGGCAAAATGACATCAAGCAAACTACCAAATCACAGAATCACAGAATTTCTAGGTTGGAAGAGACCTCAAGATCATCGAGTCCAACCTCTGACCTAACACTAACAGTCCCCACTACACCATATCCCTAAGCTCTACATCTAAACGTCTTTTGAAGACTTCCAGGGATGGTGACTCCACCACCTCCCTGGGCAGCCTGTTCCAGTGCCTAACAACCCTTTCAGTAAAGAAGTTCTTCCTAACATCTAACCTAAAACTCCCCTGGCGCAACTTAAGCCCATTCCCCCTCGTCCTGTCACCAGGCACGTGGGAGAACAGGCCATCCGCCACCTCGCTACAGCCTCCTTTAATGTACTTATACAGAGCAATAAGGTCACCCCTGAGCCTCCTCTTCTCCAGGCTGAACAAGCCCAGCTCCTTCAGCCGCTCCTCATAGGACATGTTCTCCAGCCCCCTCACCAGCTTCGTCGCCCTTCTTTGGACCCGCTCAAGCACCTCGATGTCCTTCTTGTAGCGAGGGGCCCAAAACTGAACACAGTACTCGAGGTGCGGCCTCACCAGAGCCGAGTCCAGGGGGACGATCACCTCCCTAGCCCTGCTGGTCACAGTGTTTCTGATACAAGCCAGGATGCCGTTGGCCTTCTTGGCCACCTGAGCACACTGCTGGCTCATATTCAGCCGACTGTCCACCATCACTCCCAGGTCCTTCTCTGCCTGGCAGCTCTCCAACCACTCATCTCCCAGCCTGTAGCTCTGCTTGGGGTTATTGCGCCCCAGGTGCAGGACCCGGCACTTGGCCTTGTTGAACTTCATACAGTTGACCTCAGCCCATCGGTGCAGCCTATCCAGATCCTCCTGCAGAGCTTTCCTACCCTCGAGCAGATCGACACATGCACCTAACTTGGTGTCATCTGCGAACTTACTGAGGGTGCACTCAATGCCCTCATCCAGATCATCGATTAAGATATTAAAGAGGACTGGCCCCAGCACCGAGCCCTGGGGGACGCCACTAGAGACTGGCATCCAACTGGACTTGTCTCCATTTACCACGACTCTTTGGGCCCGGCTATCCAGCCAGTTTCTAACCCAACGAAGCGTGCGCCAGTCCAAGCCAAGAGCAGCCAGTTTCTTGAGGAGAATGCTGTGTGAAACGGTGTCAAAAGCCTTGCTGAAGTCAAGGTAGACCACATCCACAGCCTTTCCCTCGTCCACCCAGCGCGTCACTTTGTCATAGAAGGAGATCAGGTTCGTCAAGCAGGACCTGCCTTCCATAAACCCATGCTGACTGGGCCTGATCGCCTGCTTACCCATCAAGTGCCGCATGATGACTCCCAAGAGGATCTGCTCCATGAAATAAACCCATCCAAACCAACAAAGACAGATGAACAACTGGAAAAGTGAAAATAAATGGACATCTCCTGTTCAGTATCAGATAATGATCTTTTTTCTAATGTGTGCTTTATTTCACCATTATCCTCACAAGGTAACATCAAATGCATTCCTACTAGACTAGGGTTAGTTTAAAAGATTGTATGTAGCCTATCTTTATCATGTCATGTGTCATCCTAACAAGCTAATTTTCACAATCAGACACTGTTGTAAGTCAACACCTTTAACATTTTTCTTTCCAACCTGGATTTAAAGTGGGATTAAGGGAGAACATAATACTTCTACATAGAGGACCTCACCTTCTATCAGCAAATAAATGAGACGGACTAAATCTCACTTTACCAACAAGCGAGAATGGAGCGGAGGATACAGAGAGGTGGGATAATGCAAGCTTATGTCAGAATCAGTGTGCCTGCACTTTAGTTCACGTGGTGAACTGGGGTCGGGGGGACTGGGTGCTCAGGGATAGGCTGGGCAGTCAGCAGGTGGCGAGTGATTGCATTGTGCATCACTTGTTTGTACACATTATTAGTAGTACTATTATCATTATTATTATCGGTTTCCTTTCTTTACTGTCCTAATAAACTGTCTCTATCTCAACCCACAGGTTTTCATTGTTTTTCTGATTCTCTCTCCTACCCCAGAGAGGGAGGGGGGGAAGGTGAGTGAACGGCTGTGTGGTGCTTAGCTGCCAGCTAGCTTAAACCACAACATTATTAATAGTTTCCAACAGATGGTTCCAGAAGCACGGAGGTTATGGCCCAACTAGTCTCACAACCAGTAATTTTATCATATCAGAAGGCAGAGTTACACAGCAGAGCAATATGATAACACTAAACCACCCCCCAGAAATGACAGACAGCACAACAGGGAACACATACAAGTAATGTGCCATACAACACAATTCTGAAAGCAAACACAGCAAACCCAACATCAAAACAAAACAAAACAACAACAAAACAAAAACAAACACAAACAAACAAACAAACAAAAGTGATCATCAACTATTAAACTGACCTAATGCTTATAACGTCTTTTAACATGCTCTGGTCAGATCTGCAGAGGGTTACAAAGGGGATCAGGGCTATGACTAGGGCTATGAAGACAATTAGAGGACTGAAGCACCTGTCATACTAGGACAGACTGGGAGAACTGGGCCTGTTTAGCTTGGAAAAGAGAAGACTGAGGGGAAACCTCATTAATGTATATAAATATCTGTGGGGAGGGTGTTGAGAGGATGGAACCCAACTCTTTTCAGTTGTGCCCAGTGACAGGGTGAGAGGCAGTGGGAACAAACTGAAGCCCAGGATGTTCCAGCTCAATATGAGGGGGCACTTCTGCACTGTGAGGGCGACAGAGCACAGGGACAGGTTGCCTAGAGAGGCTGTGGAGTCTCCTTCTCTGGCAATATTCAAAACTCACCTGGATGCCATCCTGTGCAACATGCTCTAGGTGATCCTGCTTGGCAGGGGGTTGGACTAGATGTTCATCAGAGGTCCCTTCCAACCTCAACTATTCTGTGATTCTGTGATCTGTCCTAATCCCTACCCGTCAGGCCCCACATTGTGTGCCAAAAAGGACTTATGTAGCAGGCAGCTAAGTACCACACAGTTGTTTGCTCATCCTCCCCCCCAACCCAGTGGAATGGAGGGGAGAATTGGGAAAAGAAAAAAAACAAAAAACAAAGCTGGTGGCTTGATACAAAGACAGTTTAGTAGGACAAAAAATGAAGGGGGAATGATGATGATGATGATGATAAGAATAATAGAATGTGCAAAGCAAGTGATGAACAAGGTAATTGTTGCTACACACACACTGACTGATGCCCATCCCACCCCCAAGCAGTGGTCAGCTCTCCCCCACCAAGCCATTTGGGTAATTCTGGCACCACGTGGGTAATTCGGGAACTACTCAGCTCTGTCCCTGAACTCCAAGTCGCACACCAGTGTTCTCCAGATGCACGTGGAACCCCATATCTCCCTACTCTGAGTCTGTCATGATAATTGTTGAGCAATCTCCCTGTCCTTATTTCAACCCTTGTGCCCTTTACGTCCTATTTGCTCTCCCTTTCCCTTTGAGGAGGGGGAGTGAGAGAGCGGCTGTGGTGGAGCTCGGCTGCCCACCTGAGTAAAACCACCAAAGTTTGATACAAAGGCAGCGTAGTAGCACAAAAAAGGAACACTTCTGCTCACTGCCCCTGGTGGCCCTCAGTCTCTCAACCTCCTTGTTCAGCTCTGCCACCACGCTGACCACATCTCCCACCTGCTTGCACCTCACGCAGGTGCAATACCTGCCTCCCTCCCCTGGCAGCCACAGGCTCTGGCACTCCCTGCAGCCAGAGACCTGTACGGCCACGGTTCTGGACAGGCCTTTGGGGCACCACAGCCTTTTTGGAGCAAGCTGCACCCAGTACATGCTGCACTGCCATGGGCTGCTGGGAAGCGTGGGCATCAGGCAGCTCTTGGAGCAATCCTCATTCCTCCAGGGGCTGCTTTTACCCTCTGTTTCCTGAAATAAGACTTCCACAGGGGTGAAGAAACTCAGCCGCTTGGAGGGCAAAGCGTAATGAAGGGCTGAACTTCTCAAACAATCCTGCAGCCAGGCTCTGCTGATGGAAAGCCCACGGGGGCAGAGGCCAGGAACGGCACCCAGGCTGCTGCCCATGTGAAGGACACAATCAGACTGATTTACTCTTCCAGCTTTAATTAAACAGAGTCATTTGCCCTGGCTATGCAGGGCCAGCAGCAACATTCTGCAAGTCGATCCCATAGAGGTATTGGTGTCTTAATTCGACTTCTCAGTTTTAGGATGGTGTGAGCTGCTGTAATGCACACTGATGAATCGACATCCTTCACGACAAGTTGGAGGGCTGCAACAGGAAGAAATAGAGCAGAGATGAAACCCACATGTAATACACAATAAATGTTCATTGTCTTTTGTACTATAAAAACAAGGAGTTCTGTTTGAGGAGCAGGGGTTGCGAAAGTTCCCTGCTGAAGTAAGGAGCTGTATAACGCTTGGCTAGACACTATGAAAATTCCCTTGCCTAATGTAACAAAAAAGAGAAACCCCTCCCCTTCTCTCCTTCTGCATCTCAGTTGCCTCTTTTGTTCAAAGACACTGTTGCAAAGCTCATGTAACATCTCCTGGTAAATTGTTAACCTAGTGTATCAACATCCTGCCTTCCTGTCTCATGCTGGGCCAACGTGACCAAATAAAACAAGAAGTTGAACCACAACGCCGAGGAAGACTACGGCCTTCATCTTCACGACCGCCAGAGGGTCAGAGACGACCCCCCAGCAACAGTGCGCGCAGTCGCAGAATATACCAGGATGTGCTGCGTAATCCCGGAATTACCAAGATATAAAAAGGGGCCCTGGCGGGGGTGAGGTGCGCACCGTTGGTGGAGCCGAGACTCTGTGGCCGCCCAGCGCTGTTTTGCTTGCTGTTGCTTACTCAATAAATTCCTTTCTCTTGTTAATACAATGCTCTCTGAAAAATTATAGGCGGCAACTTATAACACCACGGACCTTCAGAGACCTCCTGGCATGCCTCCAGGCCATGCCAGCCCCACCTGTCTCCTTCCCTGGCCAGGGGGAGCAACTGGGACAAAGGGATCAGCTGGAAGCTGCTGCTCAGGAGCATCCCACATGTCTCCCCCATTTCCCTGGAGCATGGGAAGGCATGGCTGCACACTGTGCAGGCTCTGACCCCTGTCCACTGGGCACAGCACCCCCAGCACCGCCTGCACTCACCTTGGATGAGCTCATTCAGCTTCTCCTCACTCCGAATGCCAGCAGAGCCGACAGCAAACCCTAGGCACAGTGCTATGGTCAGAGCCGGCTTCCCAGCACAGCCCCATGTCCAGCCAGCCTGGCTGCGTCCCCTCCAGCTCCCCGCCAAGGATGGAGCCTAAGGGGGGGCTTGAGCAAGGCACACCCCAGGCCCACCTGCATGGGCAGGGGGCTGAGGGAGGCACAGGGCTCCTGGGGGTACAATCAGGGGCTTCAGGGCCCACAGAACTGGGCCTTGCTGCCAGGGCAGGGCCCAGACAGGGAAGCAGGGCCTTGGCTTACCGACGAATTTGACAGCCATCTTTCGCAAGCTGGTCTGATCATCCTCCAGGTATGTCAGGCTCTGCTGCAGGTATCCTTCCACCCTGCTCCTCTTCTGCTTGAGCTGGAGAAAGCACAAGGGCACAGAGCTCACAGACCCTCCCCAGCCAGCCGGACAACTCCCTCCTGCCAGCACCCCCCTTCCCCTTTCCCCCAGGCCATCCCCAGCTCCCAGCCAGGAGCTCTGTGGGGCTGAGGTTTGGAAAGAGTTAGGAGACCGTTCTGTCCCGCTGCCAAGGCCCAGATGGGCTAGGGTCTCCTCCCGCATGCTGGGGGTGGGGAAGGCAGAGGGGCCTGCAGAAGAGCCCTTGGGGCTCTGTGCTGGAGGGAACGGAGCCACGATGCAGCAGCAGGTGGGGGACTCTGGGCTGGAGCAGCCTGGGCATGTCAGACAGGCTTGTCCATATGGGGCCTGGGGCTGTGTGGTTCTCCTTACCAAGTACCCCCCAATCTTAGAGATGTCCTCAGTCTGAGCCAGCTGCTCAAGCTGTTTCCACTTCAGGAACTTTGCACAAGCAAGTAGGACTTCTGCAGAGGCCTGTGGAGAAGCAGAGGCAGGGAGATGGCACCGCACACACATACCTAAAGTGTCTGATTGCCTGCTGCCCTGGCCCCGCCATGCCCAGAATACCCCTCTGGTGTCAGCACACCCAGTGCCCATGTCAATGGCCAGGTCTGAAATCTGTACCTTGGCCACACTCTCAGTGTTGTCACGCATCCGGAAAAGCAGTGGAATAATGGCCCTGTGCACGGTCTTCTTCATTTCTCCTTTTTTCCACCACAGCACAGACTCCATCAAGTCTTTGAAGAGGAGCACGGAGCATTCTCGCACCTCACTGGACACCTGTTAGGGAGGGCAAAAGGAGGATTTCGCCAGCTGCCAGCCTCCCCCTGTCCATGGGGAGCAAGGGCCGTAGGGTGGCTGATGTGAAGGGTGAAGCCTCATGTTTGGAACAAAGGAGCTAAAGGCCTGCACAAGGCAAAGCAACAGGTTTCCTGCACGGGGTGCCTGTGTCTCAGAGTGCAGTCCCAGCTGGCCCACTTTTACTAGTAGCTGCACCAGCCATGTCAAAGCAAAGCTCTACTGGGAACGGGCTGAGGAGGAGACATAGCTGGCCTTTGATAATGCCTCTGGGGCATTCTAAGACTACTCAGCCTTCATCTTCCTGCCCCCAGAACAGAAGCCCTTGGCTGTCCAGAACTCTCAACTCGACAGGGAGAAGCCCTGCTGGACTGCAGAGCCCAGAAGACAGCCTACCATAACCCAGAGGAGCAGAGAGAGGGGAAGGCCCGGCGTGAGTGCTGCCCACAGCCCTGGGCCAAAGGGCAGTGCCATTGCAGTGTGCCCATCTGCAGGGCTCAGTCACCAACAGCAGTCTTACATCGTTAAAGAGAGGCAGGAGTCTCCCAGCCAGTGCCAGAGCGATGGGGCTGGCCTCCTTCTTCTCCAGATCACGAATCACATTTTTGAAGATAGTCAGGGCCTTCATGGTGATGTGCGTGTTGTCATACTGCAGTGTATTCATCACGTCCGGCAGCAGGACCAAAAATTTTCCACCCTGTACAGAACGACACCATTTGCTTTTAGTCAAGAGGGGAAGGGCCATCCTGGCCAAAATAATCTGATTACGGAGCACCAGACTCCTGCCCTGTTTCCTGGTAGCACAGACTGTGTTGTGGGGACAGAAGGGCACAGGGAAGGGACTTCAAGAGAGCAAAGATCCTGTATCCCCTGCTGAGTCACCCTCTTTGCCACCTGCTTCCAGGGAACCCATTGGGAAAGCTTCTGGAAAGCTCAGCTGGCAGCCACCAGGCCCCACCACAACCCACCACACCACAACCCACCCCACCTCCTGCCTCCCAGCCAAGGCCAAGCCATGGCGTTGCCTCCTGCCCCAGCACCAGGTTGCCAAAAGGTTCACTTGGCAATGTCTCACTCACCATCTCAGGTGTCTCTGACAACATGTCGAGGGCTCTGAGCATCATCCAGAGCATTGGCAGGCTTTGAAGCCTCAGACACATGCAAAGCGTCTCAGGGGCACATAAATCCAATATAAGCTGATGCGTGGGGTACATCATCTGAAACGAACACAGCCATGAGAAATGGGCAGAGCCTACGGGCTGCGCCCTGCAGCTCCTGGCTCCCCTGGCAGCTCAGGGCAGGGCATGAGGGACACGCAGCCCGTCCTGGAGCAGCCATGCCTGCGGAGGAGTGTGTGGCTCCTGTGTGCCCTGCGCCTGGCAACACAGAGCATCCTTTCTTTGCCTGCTCCTCCTTCCCTCTGGCCATCCGCAGCCTCTTGGTCTCACACCTCTGAGGAGCGACTGACCAGCACCATCTGGCACAAAGCAGGCACTGGAAGCAGGTGGCTACAGGTGCTACTAGTCCCTGGCCTCACAGCTTGCTCAGCCCGTGCAGAGGCCATGGCTCTGCCCCAGCCCCAGACATTGTCCTGACTCTGCCCCAGTCATTGCCAGGAGCCGGGGGAAAGACAGCACTGCCAGGAAAGGGGCAGGCTTCATGTCTGAGCACACGGACCCCGCATGGCTGGTGGAGGGGGGCTGGTGCTGGCCCTAAGGGGCTGTGTCCTTGTGTCCTGGAAGAGGTGACAGGTTGGAGAAGATGGGATGGGGAGAGGACTGTGCCTGTTTTCCTGGAGGAGCACACATAGCCCCAAAGGGGAACAAGGTGTGTTGTCTGGTTACTCACAGCAAAGTGAAAGATGCTTAAGTCCGCGGCGCTGACTGCAAAGAAGCTGCACACTTCGTTGTCCTGGAGAACATTCCGTAGCTCCTGCAAGATCTTCTCTGAAGTCACTGGAAGGGAAAGCATCGCCTTCCAGATGTCCAGCGTAGTGCTGCAAGCCCAGAACACACTGTTGGCAGGGCTGCCCTGGTCACAGCGCCATGACCCAGACCAACCCCGCAGGCCCCGGGCTGTCCTGCAGCCCTGGACCTCGCCACCCCGTGCTTAGGGAGCCCTGGGGGACCAGGCTGGGCAAGCAGGAGGGGCCTGAGGTGGTGCTCCCTGTGGGGCAGGAGGGAGTGTGATGGGGTCTCTGGGCTGCCTTGGTCTGGTCTGGATGCTGAGACCCTGGCTGCCCCAACAGGGCTGGCGAGCACCGTGCGATGGAGGGGCCCACTCCACTGGGAGGATGCGCACCATGCGATGGAGGGGCCAGAGATTCTCCAGGTCCTTCTCCCCACATAGAAAAAGCCCCCAGGGCTTCTGGGGCTGGTACCTGTCAAGTGTCGGGAGGTCTGTCAAGATGCTTAGGAGCACTTCCCTAGGAAACTGGTTGGCCATTGTGGAAAGTACTGAGAAGAGTTTCTGGTGGTCTGAATCTCTGCAGTTACTCAGGCTTTCATGGATGAACCTCAGAATCTTTGGCACCTGGAGGAGATGTGGGAGAGAATGTAGCTGCCACTGGACTGCAGCCAGTTGCCCAGGGACCACTGAAACTGCTGCCCAAGAGCTGGGAATTCGAGGCAGGATGAGTGAGCGATGAAAGGGCTCAAGGGCAGGGCAATCCAGCCACAGGCTGCTTACATCCATCAGCCAGGTGGCAGGGTCTTCAACTGCTATGTCCACCATGAATTCGGCCCCAAAATGCTCATCATCTTCGGTGCTGTAGCTACTCATTATGTCAAGAGTCTTGAGGATGATGGCTGTCCTCTGAGAAGGCTGGAGGTATTTTCCAAATGGCTATGGAAAGAAGGAAGGAAGATATGACACATTCATCAGGGGAAAGGAGGAACAAAGACCCTTCAGGGCAGAGCCGTGCTCATGGTCCCCATGAGAATCCATGAGAAGGGAAAGGGAGATGGACTGGCTGGTGGGTGCCTGGCTCCTTACCTCTTTACTGCAACAGTTGTACAGGAAAGCAAACAGATTCCAGATCCTCTCCGCGGCGTTTACCTGCACAGCTCTGCTTGAAGAAGTGGTAAATTCCAGTAGCAGCTGTGGGAAGAAAAGCTTCTGGTCTGCTCTGGGAGCTGACAACTGCTCCAGCAGAACTGCCTGGACTCACGCTGTCCATCATGGAATTCCTCAGAGCTGGAGCAACGCCCTGTTCACACTGGGAAGGAAAGCACAGGGGACCAGGAAAGCAGAGCGATGGCAGCTCCAGATGCTGCCAGTGTGGTGCACAAGGGCAGGGCTCAAATTCTCTCAAATCCACCACTGCTTTGGTGCAAGGAGAGCTCTGCGGGCAGAGGAGGCCCAGGAGTGCTGCGGGGAAGCTGTGCTGCGACACAGGAAGGACGTGTGGAGGGCAAGGGATGTTGACAGCAGCCAGGGGACACCGGGGCCCTAGAAGAGCTTGGTGGACAGACCCTGGCTCCCCTGAGTGTGCTGGGCACAGGCCTGGCAGGCACTATGGTCTGTGTGCATGGCACAGGGGGCACTCTTCACTACTATATGTCACCTCACTCTAGGGTGAGGAACAGCCACTGTAAAGCTGATGCTGTGCAAACTGCAGACCTTCAAGATGCTCTGCAACTTATCACCGAGGCTGGAGGCTGGAGGTCTGATCAGCAATGTTCTCAGCATGACATCCATCTTTTGCAGGATCTGTAAGAAGGACAAAGTGTTGTGGCAAGGGTGAGAGGGAAGGGGTGGAGGGAAGCAGTCCGAGACCTGCCTCATCAGGGATCTTCAGTTGTTTCTAAGCAGGAGGAAACTCCATGCAGTGCAGGGGAATGGGGGCTCTTGTGGCTCAGCAGCACATACCGTCATGGTGAACCAAGCGTCCAGATCCTCAGTTCTCAGAAGAAAGAAGACGCTGCTAACGCATGCAGCTACGAGAGACAACATTTCACCCTCCAGTACAGTCTCCACTGTGCTGTAGAGAGAGAGACATTGTCAGTGGGAACGGTGCCTCTACAACAAAGGGAGATGGACACAGTCCTCCAGTGGAAGCGTGGCCATGGGGGTTGACAAGCCCCATGATTGGTGATAACATTGGACTTTTAACGATGAGGCTATGAGGAATGTAAAGAGTTCAGAAGGAACAAAGAAGGGTCATTCAGGAGACGCCTTGCTGGCTCAGACTGCCTGTTCTCCAGCCATTAAGACATGGAAGTTGCTTGGTGTTTGCTGTTGCTGGGCCAAGTTGTTGATCAATGAATAATTAGTAGAAAATACTTCTGTAGAGCAAATGGTATAAAAAGGGAGCCTGTCCTCAATGTCAAGGGAGTGGAAGTTATGCCCTCAATAAAGAAGAAGTTACTGATCCCTTAAAGAACCTTGGTGTCCGTGTGGTCATTACGCCACATCCTCCCATGGGCAGGACTTTGTGGGAGGGATGGGGAGCCCAGCTGGGGGATGTATCCTCTTCTGCAAGGCTGGCCTGGGCCAGAGGACAGTCCTGACACCTCCTGCTTTGGGGCAAAGGCTGAGATGAGTCAGGAAGCTGCAAGGTTCCCTCTTCCCTCTGGACAAGTCCCGAGCATGGAAAAGCAAAGGCCTGCCCGGATGGAGGATGTGTGCTTGCCAGGGTCAGGGTCACCTGGCTCGTGCCCTGGGGTTGTGCTAGCCAAGCCACGGATGGGGTTGGGCACATACCTCAAGGCAGAAGTAGCAAGTAAGGCTTCCTCCCACAAGTCTGTGCACGGGTAATCAATAGGCTTCTCTTCCAACAGCACCTGGAGAGCACAAATTAGATGGAACCTGGCAGCCACAGGCACACAGCGCCAGCAGAGCCAGCACTGTTGGCAGGGTTGGCAGAGTCCTGGTATCCCCAGCCAAAAGTGCCCCCCTGCACCTTGCAGTGCTGAGGTCCCAGCAGCACCCGAGATCCCACTCGGGGTAGCTGGGTGTCCATGTATGTTTGCTCCCAAACACCCCTGCCCAATGCCCAGGGAGCCTCGCCACCTTCCCCAGCCCGCCAGACGTCCCCTCACCTGGATGTTCGCTGTCAGCTTATTTTCACGGCAGAAGGTGTCCAGGCCCTCTAATAAGCCCTTCTCTTGTGCGGTTGTGAACACAGTGACGATGTTCCTCAGGAGCTTCATTTTCTGCACGTCATCCTGGCAGCCACAGAGATACCAAGAGGGAGCGTGAGGGGGGAGCCACAGCCAGCAGGACCGCAGCACTGTGGGGTGCGGAGCTGTGCGGGACGCCTGGAGGGCAGCAGCTCTGCCCAGCCAGCAGCCCTCCAGCAGCCTGGCAGCAGAGCCGGGGCACGGCCAGGACATGCAGGCACAGCCGCCATGGAAAGGGCTGCTCTTACTCTTTCTTTGTTTTTGATGTAGTCCTTGATGAAGTCCACAGCTTCCTCTTCCTCTTCGTACACAGGTAGCCAGCTAGCATCTAAGACAGAAGGAGAGCAAGGATTACTGTAGAGGGGCTTCAGGATGAAGCAAGGGAAGGGGGCACTGGCTTCAAGCAGGGGGTGCGGCTGGCCCCAGCCCTGCGCACCCCAGCGCAGACCCTCACTCACCAGACTGCAGCGGCTCCACCTCGCACACCTCAAAGGGCTCCAATACAGAGCTGCTCTCCTGGGAGCTCTCACTCGCTTCCCAGGCCACCCTGGGGCGGCTGGGGGGTCTCTCCTCCATTGCGAGTGATGAGAGAGTCAGGAGGGCGCAGGCTCGGGACAGCCACAGGCAGTGCGGAAAGACGTGGGCTGCACTTGGGGGCTCCTCGCCAGTCCCACTCGCTCCTGTCCTATCCCCTCTCTGTCCTGACGGACACTGGAGGGGCCGTTGTGCCAGCACCGGCTATTGCCAGATGACACTGGCCTGTGTCACAAAGGGTCCTCCTGTGATGTCATGCCCCCGGCTGGGTGATGCTGGCTCAGGGCCCTCCCTTGTTCTCAGCTCTTCTCAGGGCTGCTCTTGCATGCAGGCCCAGGAAATGGCTCCATAAATTTTAATATTGTCTTGCAGTTGATGCTATTTTTTTAGGAGCCAAGGAAAATGGGAGAAGTTAATGCACGCTCAAGGGTTTTACATCTTACTGCGATCAAAAGATCCAAGCTGATTGCGGGCTGAGTAGTGATCATATCATGACAGGAAATGGCTCCATAAATTTTAATATTGTCTTGCAGTTGATGCTATTTTTTTAGGAGCCAAGGAAAATGGGAGAAGTTAATGCACGCTCAAGGGTTTTACATCTTACTGCGATCAAAAGATCCAAGCTGATTGCGGGCTGAGTAGTGATCATATCATGACATGCATTCAACCGAAATCTAAAGAGAGGACCGAGCTTCATTATCTCCCCTATATGAAAAATGAATCAAGTGATTCACAAATATCGTTCTCTTTAGAGCCATTTAAAAAGAAAAAAAATACGTATATTTCATTTGTAAAAATATTTGCAGTAAAGATCTGTGTACTTAAATAATTCTATTTCATGAGGACATAAACCTTTAGTTCTGTGGAAACCCAAATAAATGTTTATGAACTGCTACACTTCAAACAGGACTTCACTTTGGTAGGGCCTTGTCCTCACTCTGCTCCTCTGGAATCTTGTGGGATGTCTTCTGGGCTCAGCAGTCTGGAAGGACTTAACTCTGTCACACTGATAGATCTGGGTGCTCCAAGAGCCCTGTGCTGGGGACGAGCACAGCCCCTGACTAAAGCATGTGCCACCAAGAATTGCTTGCAGATCATTGAGGGTTCCCTCTTCTGACAGTGAGCTGCAGGACCAGGCATCCTCCCCCTGTGCTGAATATCCTGGTTTTGGCTAGGCTAGAGTTAATTTTCCTCCTAGTAGCTGCTATAGTGCTGTGTTTGGGATTTAGGATGAGAATAATATTAATAGCACACTGGTGTTTTAATTGTCGCAGAGCAGTGCTTACACCAAGCCAAGGACTTTGCAGCTTCACGCTCTGTCCTGCCAGCGGGCAGGCTGGGGGTGCAGCAGGAGCTGGGAGGGGACAGACCCAGGACAGCTGACCCAAAGTGGCCAAAGGGGTATTCCATACTATCTGGGGTTATGCTAAACGATATATAGGGGTGGCTAGCCGGGGTGGGTGGACTGGGTGCTCAGGGATAGGCTGGGCATCGGTCAGTGGGTGGTGAGCAATTGCATTGTGCATCACTTGTTTCGTATACATTATTATTATTATTACTATTATTATCATTATCATTATTATTCTGTCCTAATAAACTGACTCTATCTCAACCCACAGGCTTCATTTTCCTGATTTTCTTCCCCATCCCAAAGAGGGAGGGGAGAGGGTGAGCGAATGGCTGTGTGGTGTTTAGCTGCCAACCGGGTTAAACCATGACACAGCTTGATGGCTGAAATCTTTTCACATATCTCATAGCTCACTCTGGTATAGAAATCATGTGGTTAATCTCTTCTTCTTCATCCTCCTGCTACCTTTATAGCCCAGATTTAGAGTAGCCTGCTTCATCTTCTTCCTCCTTTCTTGTCTGGGTAGGAGTTTCCTTCCATTAAAAAACAAACAAAAAAAAAAATCAAAAACAACAACAACAACAAAAAAAAAAACCTGACTATCATATCCATTATTTTCTCATGCATATAGGAGCAACTGATAGTGGCACGGGCTGGTTTTCTGGTTCAGCCATGGGGCCCACCACAGGGTGTGGAGGGGTTGCAGTTTTTGTCACAGATGTTGGAGTGTCTGTAGGGCCTGTGGTAAGAGGTGGAGCGTGTGCATGGTCTGTCACAGGGTTGGAGCGGCTGCTGGGTCTGTTACTAGAGTTGGAGTGTCTGTAGGGACTGTCACAGGTTTTGAAGTTTCTGTAGGGGCTGTCACGAGGGCTGGTGTAACTGTGGGGCCCATGTCAGGAGTTGCTGTGGCTGCAGGGCCTGTCACAGGAGTTATTGTGTCTGCAGGGCCTGTCACAGGGGTTGGAGTGGCCTCATGGACTATCACAGGAGTTGGAGTGCCTGCAGGATATCTCACAGGGACTGGAGTGACTGCAGGGGCTGTGACAGTAAGTTGGAGTGTCTGCAGGGTGTGCAATAGGTGTTGAAGTGGCTGCAGGGTTCATCTTTGTGGATGTAGGGCCTTTCAGAGGAGTTGGAATAGCTGCAGGGCCCCTTGCAGGTGTTTGAGGGGCTGCAGGGCTTGTCACGGGAGTTGGAGTAGCCACAGGGACTATCACAGGTGTTGGAGAGGCTGCAGGGCCAGTCACAGGTGCGGAGTGGCTGCAGGATCTCTCACAGGTTTTGGAGTGGTGTTGAGACTTGGTAAACATAGGCCAAGACCAAGCATGTTCCAGCGATTTGTGTCTCTTTGGAAATGCCGGGGTGATGACACACCTTTTTCAAGCATTTCAACAGTTTTTTTTAGGATTCTGTGCTTGCCTAGGGGAGAAGTTCCAAAGCACTGGAGGTGACCACAGCTCTAGGTGCCTGCCCATATTCTCCCACACTTCCTGCTATTCCTAACTCTCTTGCCTGGGGACAGATCCCTTAATGACATTCTTAAGCACTTGTTTAAACAAAAGCTGAAACACATTCACTTGACATCACAATATGAACATGCTGGTTTGACCATCCCAAGTATATTCAAAGCTTTGCAGAGCTATTGTAAGTAGCCTGGAGGAGAAGGAGGAGGTGAAGGAGAAGGAGGGAGTGAAGAAGTGATGCCCATTGTTGTTCCCTTCCCACCACTGCCCACCCCGATTGACACCCTGAGGAAAAAAGGTCAAGAGTGTAATTCTGAATAGCTTCCGATATATGGTTCCCAAGGTATGGAGGTGATGGCAATGCCCGGTACAAGTATGAGATTAGTCTCATGACCAATAATTGTATCCTATTATAAGTCAGTGTTATCCAATACAGCAAAAGAATAACCTTAAACCCACACCCAGAAATGGTAAACAACATGACAGGGAACACATACATTTAATAATGTGCTATACAACACTATTCTGAAAACAAGCACAACAGACCCAAGATCAAAAAAATTAACATTGTGATAAGCAACTCTTAAATTGATGTAATGCTGATAACAATTTTCTTTTAACATGCTCTGTCATCTTGTGAGGAATGTTTTAACAATTCCAATTCGTGTCCATAAATTTGTGTCCATAAAGAATAATTCTGTTTGAATCCTGTCTGCCTCTGGGCCCTGCACTGGCAATTTAATTCTTGAACCACAGATGCAGTGTGTCCCAGTCTCCCCCTCATTCCAGTCAATTTATCACGTCTTCAGAAAACACTCCTTAAATTTATGAACCTGTTTGCTTTTGTTATTCCTGACTTCTAGTTCTAACAGTTACAGTTTTTTTTCTATCTTCTTCGAGATTGATTTAACACTGCTATAGATGTTATATAGATGACTGTGAATAGCTGGGAAAGAATGTTTTAATTGCTCGTGCGTCGTCAAGCTGTTTGGGAGTTTCAGAACAACTGATAATAACTGGTGACTGCTGGTGACTGTTATGAGATACTATGTGGATCCTTGGTATCTGGCCAGGGGGGGCCAAGAGATTAAGAGGAAGAAAAAAGAAGCTGAAGGACGGTTGGGAGACAAGACCTGCGGAGAGTGTACAGAGAGTATTCCATAAACTTGGAATAGTGCCGAGTAAGTACAAAGGGTGAGAGGAAGACTACGAGCCTTCAGCATGAAAGACCCCTAGAGACCCCCAGAGGAGACTGATGCGCATGCTCCAGTAGGAGGAACTGGACCCCGGAAGCTAATTATAATAATCTATTTTTTTTAGAAGTAGTAATGAATATGTATTAGTCTAGGTGCATAAAAATCAGCTGCTTGATGTAACTGGTGTGCGGCCTGTTGGAGCGGAGATTCCCGGTGCACCCAGCGCTGTTTGCTTACCTCTATTCCTTTATATTCTTTTAATAAATCCTATTTTTTTATTTAATCCTAATTTGAATCCTGAGCCATTTATAACAATGGTCCTTACTTATGCCCTCTCCAACTCCTGCAAAGGAACGTTCTTCTTCACGTACCTAGTGCCAGTCTTACCCACTTCCCCCGCTGGAGCCTACGATAACCACTTTCCTCCCAGGAGAGACTGGCAAACCCTCAGTACACTGCAATAGTATGGATGGGAAATTCTAATACTGCATTTGGAAGCAATTTCAGAAAAGTAGTCACTTATCCATGGCTACCCTCTTTATGTCAACCTGCTAACTTCAGGTTTAAAATCATCTCTGAAAGAAATAAAGATCCTTTTCATGTTCCTAATACATCAAAGCATAAAAAACAAACAAACAAACAAACAAACAACAACTCATAATAAACATCCCCAAATAAAAGCCCATCATAAAAATTGTTAAAACAACAATCATAACCAATAGTACTAGCAGGTCATCAGTGAGGTATTTTAAAATTCAACAAGGCCTTTTACCTTAAAAATTAGGCAAGGAATCTGTCTCCTCAACTACAGTTGACCAAAAGCAAACGGTGGCCTACAGAAATCTACACAAGGTGTGGAAACTAAACAGCCACAGTGCATTATAGGTTGAATTACTTCACAATCTGTATGTCCTTCCAATTAATTGTTTTAATTGGCATTGCTTAACAACTGACTTAAGTTGTAATTGTACAGGTCACAAGAATATGTCCTATTTGAGCATTTAAAAAAGTTGGAATTTGACATACTTTGAGCTCATAGTGCTCCACAATAACTACATTGTCTGGCTCTGTAGAAGCTTCCACGGTGGTCTCAACACTCATCTGGTGCTGTTCTACCTGGGAATGCCCAGTAGGAGCCATTTGAAGCTTGTAAGAATCTGGAATGACACAAATTTCTTCAGTCAGGTTTCCGGTTTATGTAGAATACAGTCTCAGTGAAGTATCCTGTACCTGCAAAACAATCTCTTTCTACAAATACAGAGACAGCACTGTTACCATCTTCACTGAGAAATACTTGGCTTCTCCCTTCTTTCCAGCTAACGTCACTGCTCCATTAAACTTTGAAACTGCGACAAAAAAAAACAAACACCCCCTCCCCCCAATCAAACCAAAAGCACTAGAGAAAAGGGTAATAGAGGGAAAAAAACAGTCATGTTGCCAATTCACGTTAGGAAACGCATCTTACACTGC